TAGACCAGTACAGACACGAATAAGAATCTCAACAGACTGACTGGCCTCATGCAATATGTCATAGACCTTTAATATATCTACATATGGCATAACAGTAAATTTGCAATTATAGTTATCATACTGCATTGTGAACAAAACAATTCAGCTTCAAGTCTTGACAGAGCTGGATTAAACAATAACAAATAATGATTGATAAACACTGATCCTGTGGCTAAACATACCTTCTCTGGTTGATTTGTGCATTAGCTCTCCTCAAGTCATTTAACTCTCTGTTGGCAGCCTCCTTTTCATTTCCTAACTTTCTTTCCTCCTCCTTCATAAATTGAAGAGTTGCCCTTTGTGACTCTATTGCAAGATCTAGTCCCTCTAGTTCATCTCTACGATCCTCTAGTTCACCCTTTATTTTGATCAAACCAAAACCAAATACTTTTCTATGGCAACATAATTAGTTAATTGTAAATCATTACTATTATTCCAGCGATTAAATCAATAAAAACAAAAGTGAACCCAATTTTCAATCTATAGATGTATCGCAATGTTTCTATTTCAAACAGAATACAGTATTCTATTATGTATTTTCTTCATGAATTCATGAATGAATCAAGGAGAATGATTTTACAAAAATGAATACGATAAATGTATGCACTGACTTTTAATCTTTTAATTGCACTTCTTTCTTTCTGTTTATCTTTGGTTCTTCTCACTGGACTAACTAGAACTGGGTCTGATCTTCTTTGTTCCTGAAAGAAAACATAAATTAGTTATGCAAGCATCGTTGCCAAAGAGACGTAGGTCCTAAACAGATGGAAATAGATAAGTAAATAAGAAAAACCAAAAACCATCAATATTCCACTCCTTTTGATGCCAAATGAACAGCTGCTAATATGTTTATCTTTTATTAAAATTGCAACTCGGCTATTATTCCTCCTAAAACCCAGTACTTATAGTTTATCCATAATATAAATAGCCTTGTGATTATCCCAAAAATAATTTTTTAATAAAACACAATGCATTTCTTATGATTAACCTTAATGTTGACAGTTGCCCCACAACTGTTTTCTCAATAAAATGAATGGCTTAGTCAACCAGGTCACATACCTTAACTATTGCCAGTTTCTCCTTGAGTAATTTAATCTTGTCTTGTAGTTCACTCACATAATCCTCCTAGAAATTAATGAATGCATTATCTTTAAAATCCCAGAATTAATTTATGATCTAAGTTATGATTAAGTTTTCAAGTGATTTAAGTTTTTCATAAATTAAAATCTCCAATATTTTCAGTAAGAGATAAAAGAGTGAATAAATACTAAGTTGTTAGGCCTAAATGTTTTAAGAAGGATAACCTACTAGTTCATGATGTTCTGGCACGTTACAATAGAGGCCATCATCTGTTACAGGGACACCATCGGTGGTTGGAGGTACTTGTTGCACAGTAGGAGGTTGAGCCACTTGTTGAGTGACAGTAGTAGGTGGAGCTACATGTTGAGTGACAACAGGGGGTGGAGCTCCTTGCTGTGTGACAGCAGGGGTCAGAGCTACTTGGGTCACAGCAGGAAATGGAGCTCCTTGTTGAATGATGGTAGGAATGACACTGGAATGTACTGGAGGAATCTGTGTTGTAGGAATCTAACTGAATGTTACAGGGATTTGATTATTTGAGAGGTTTGGCATATGAGATGTCATTTGACTCATAGTAGCGGGCATCTGGACGATATTTGAAGTTGGATGTCCCATATTTGAATTCACTTTTCCAGTATAAGTTCCTGGAGGAATTTGATTACTATTTGAAACCATATGTTCCATATTGGGCGCCATGTGTCCTATATTTGATGTTGCTTGTCCCATATACTGTGGTATAGGGGCATTGGTTCCATCATATGGTCTATAAGAGCCATCTATACTTGCTGTTCCAGCAAAGAAATTGCCTCCCTGTGAGTTATAGGCTCTTCCATTCACTCCCACTTGGGATGAATCTCTTGTAGACGGAAGGTTGTATGGCA